AAGGCCCTGTGGCCAGGGAAGCAAAGCTAAAATCAGGGGTAGAAAAAGGTCAACAAGCCTGGGTCAGACATGCTGAGGGAGGAATCTGTATAAGATGGGGAGTTGGGCGGGGGGAGGCAGATCTCAGAGCCCTTAGGTACGGTCAGGAGTTTTATTTATATCAACTTGTTTTCTCTTGACCTGTTTCATTTCTCTTAGTGACATGTGATGGGCTTGTCACAACATTAAAGGATTACAAAGCGCTTTCAAAAGTCATCTTGGCTATTCTCCTTGCTCCCAACAGGAGTGTCTGTATTTGCAGTGCTTAAATTCCAAGAAAATTCTGTCAGCTATTACATCCCAAGGTTAAGGTTCATCAGGCACCAGCCTGGATGTTTCTGTCCTCTGTTTTGAATGAATCTTTTTGAACGCCTGTAACAAGCCCTGTTTCTGGGCCACCCCATTTCATCTTGCTCCCTGTTCACAGCCTGGGCATGAGCTTTCCCTTCCCCTTCACTTCTCCCCTTCTTGTTTCTAAAGAGAGACCAACCGAGTCCCGTACATCAACCTTTGATGTCCTCCTGCCTGCCCTGGTCACCATGCCCTTGAGATCATAGACTAAGGGAACAGGAACTGGCATGAGCACCATCCCATCCCCTGCCACGTGCCAGGTCATGGCATCCTCAAGCTCGATGGAGCCTCTCCACTGGCAGTGACCCTTTACTGACCCGCACCAATCATGTCAGTTCCTCAAATGACCGTCCTACTGAGCAGTGAAGAAGCCACGTCACAAGTTGTTCAGGCACTTGCCCAAGGGGGGCTAATCCATAGTGATAGAGCCAGAAGGGAACTCTGGGCATCGTCCTGGCTCCTGGGCTCCTGCCATGCCCTGAACTGCTGGCACAAACAGAAATCAGTTTTGTCTTAATGTTCCCCCCTGACAGATCAAAGGAGTCGACACAGTTCTGGGCACGTAGAAGCACTTGATGACAGAGGGCATCATTTTTCAGAAGCAGCTCTGTATGGTGGCAGGGCGGTGGGCTCTGGCTGAGTCCTAGCACCTCCACTTTCTTGCTCAGTGATCTTAAACAAGATGGTTCACCTCTTTTAGCCTTTATGTCTTTGAATATAAGATGGGGATAGAAATAAGGGATAGGGGCCTCCCCGGTGGTGCAGCAGGTTGAGCACAGTGCTGTGAAGCTGTCTGCAGCCTCTGCAGCGCAGGTTCGATTCCCAGCTGGCCAGGGAGATTCCCACATGGTGCAGCAGACCTCTCCTGTCTCACCTGCTGCTCCCCTCAGCAATGTATTTCAGTCAGTCTGCCTGTTCTGTTCCCTGCTCTGTCTCTGGTGAATCCTCTCACCCTCCCACGCCTCTGGCCTGTACTCTAGCTCTTGTATAAAAATAAATAAATCTTAAAAAAAAAAAAGATATAGGGGATAGACCTCATGGAAGTGTCAACAGATTAAAATGGAGAGTAAAGCTAAAGTGCTGGCACCATGCCTGGTTCTCTACCAGTGTTCCCCAAAGCAGGAGCCATGGTTACCAGACCCTCCAGAAGAATCTTCCTGCACCTGTTTTGCACACTAGACATTGGCCTGCTGCAGCCAAGCTGCTGACTGCCTGGTGCCCGCAGAGTAGAACCCCAACACCTCCTGCTGCCATCAGGGCCCCCAATCTTCCCATTGCCCTTGTTTCCACCCAGATTCCACTGCTTCTCCCAACAACTTGTCCCCACGTTCTCCTGATTCTGTCACTCATGCATCTGTCATCTGTCCCTGTCTCGGGGGGCTTTGTCTCACGCCATCCAACAAAAACACCACACATGCTGTCTACGGTGTGAGGCCTGGGGATACGGTGGTACACAGAACAAGCAGGCACCTTGTTTTGTCAAGAGTACTTGCCAGGGAGAGGAGAGATGGACACAAAGGAAATGGATCTAGACTTACAGGGCAACCAGGGCTGTACAGGGAGTGTTCAAGGTGTAACAACAAAGGTTAGATGCATCTACTTTAGTCCAGTGACCAGGGAATACTGTGTGGGGATAGAGCATTTCAACTCGGATCTCAGGTGTGAGAAGTCTTGGGCCTGAAAGAGTGGTAGGCAAAGTCTTTCAGAGAAAGGGGGCAGCATGAGCAAAGGCCCTGTGGCTGGAAGGAGAATGGCCCAGAGGAAAGAACTAAAAGACCCGTTGGTTGGAATAGAACTGATAGGCTGCAGTAGGGTGGGAAGAAGGAAGAGACATAAGATGAACTAAAAGAGGTGGCCAAGAGTTACATCAGACGGAGCCTCCCAGACCGGGAATAAGGCCCAGCTCCTCCTGGAAGTCTCCCCAGGCTTCTTGGGTCCTTGATTTCCAACTGCAGATGCTTCCAGGTCTTGCCTGCTCCATCTCTTATCCATGGGCAGACCCTGAATATCTTTAAATCTGCAGAGTCCTGAAGGTAGAGGGAATGGCCTCCTTCTGTGGGGAGCGGCACCGACCTTTCAGTGCCCTGCCTCCACAACTTGAAGGCAAGGTCAGTGCTATGCTGCTCCAGGCTTCTACCGCTCTGACTCCAACCCCCCATGAACACACCAAGCATGACAATGGGTCACCCCCACTTATTTTGGTTTCTTGGGAGACTTTTGAATAGGTCCCTTATCAGGGCAAGGATCTCTGGTTTCAGAACGTGAAGTGTCCCTTCTACCAGGATGTCAGGCCACTCAGCCAGCTGGCAGCCCTGAGCCCTGGAGCCCCCGGGGGCATGTGAGCCGGGGCAGGGAGCCCGTGAGAGACTGGTGAGGGCCTCATGTCCCCCGGGAACTAAATAAAGCTATTGTTGGGAAGGGAAGAGAGAAAATAGCCGACAAGATGTTTTTTGTCCTCTGTGACCTGTCTGTGCTCCGGGAGGGCTGGCATGTTGCAGATGGGTGGAGGTGGGAATGCCCTTTGAGACCCATTTGAACAGCTTGGGAAGGGCAAGGGTGGGGGTAGTGGGGAAGACATGGATGGCAGGGAGAAGGCCGCCGTTTCCTAACTGCCTAGATTTAGGCTCATGGTTTGCTGCTGATTTCATTGTCTACCATGTGGGCGCCGGGAAGAAAGCTAGCCTGTATCAAGTGCCTGGCACCAGTCCTGCCCCTTACCAGACACTCAATAAATGCAGTGGTGGGCTCGCTCGATTTGCAATACCATGATACCCACTCTCTTTTCTTTTTTATTGAAGTAGCATTGAATTACAGCCTGTCAGTGTCCGCATATACTACTTAAAGCTTCTCACTGAAAGTCCAGTTCCATCTTTCCCCATACATTTACCCAGTTTCCCTCCCAGTGGCCACTGGTATAAGTTTATTTTTGTTATAGTTACTTCATTTGCTTATTTTTTTTAACAAAGTGCCGTTGTTTTATGTCCTTGTTGATATTTTGACAGTCTAGGATTCCTTATGTGTCCCCATGAGTGAAATTACAGAGATTTGTCTTTCTCCTTCTGACTTATTGCACTAAACATCATCTCTTCTAGGCCCTGTTGCAAAGGGCAGGGCTTCATCTTTTCTATAGCTGAGTAATATTCCACTGTGTGTCTCTACCACATCTTTATCCACTCATCTGTCAATAGGGACTTAGGCAGTTTCTGGCTCTTGGCTATTATGAAGAAGATCAGCGTGTCATACTCATGACAAACTTGGAGTCTGACAGACCCAAGTTCAAGTCCCAGCTCACCCCTTCCCAGCAGCTGCCTTGAATCTCAATATTCTTATCTGTGAAAAGAAAATGCCCTTTCCTGGTTGCCTGTGGAGTCTAATTGAGATGAGGTCCCTCAAATCGCTTTGTGACTCGTGGGGGTCGGGTCCCCTTTGCAGCAGCTCCTTTGTGTCAGACGAGGCACTGGGCATCAAGAGGGAAGGGGTCCTCCTTTAGGGTCGCTGGGTGTCCAAATGGACAGTACTGTCAGGGGACAATCCAGGACACAGGAACCGCAACAGAAGCCTGTGCGGCACAGAGACTGGAACATGATTCCTGCTGAATGGGACTCAACCACATAGAAGGGGTGATGTTATTGCTAAATAACTACTACTAAACAACTGGAGAGGATAAAGGTGGCTCTCAACTCCAGATGTATTTCCAGACACCAAGCAAACACATCTCAAGCAACATATGAACAGCATGAAGGGGAAAACACAGAGCCTAGGGTTGAACCTGTTGTCCTCATCTCCTAGCCACGTGACCTTGGACAAGGGCACTCTCAAGGGCAAACACCAAATCTTTCGAGCCCTGCTGTCCTCCTCTGTATCTCAGGGGAAAGTGCGTGCTGTGGGGTGGGGACTGACTGAAGCATAGGTTCAGTATCTTCCTTGGGCCAGGCAATGTTCTAGAAGGTGGGGCGGAAGCAGGGAACCAAATGGGCCAGGGTTCTGTCCTCACCCGGTCTAACTCTCCAAAGGAGATAATACAGGCAGGCTCCCAGCACATGCTCGACACTGTGGCCAGTGAATGCTCACGGATGTGACCACTGTTTTTAAGATACCTCATAGGTCAGCATGGAGCGCTCTTCAAGGAGCTGACAAGAGTTTTCAGATACTTGAAGTTGTTGGGGGAGTAATGTAAGGCGGAACTGTGACGAAAGTGGCTAAGCTGCCATTTGCATGTAGAAACTACTGAATTCCCAGGAGATGGATGCTCTCACATCCCCATTTTACAGATGAGGAACCTGAGGTGCAGATCCTGTAGCAACTGGCCTCAGGTTGCATGAGGGTAAAGCCAGGATTAGAAACCAGTCTGTGAGCTCCGCTCTGCCATCGTCCAGCTTGGTGGCTGCCCCGGGTGGGCTGGTCTTAAGAGCTAGGAGCAGCCTTATGAGCTGGGAGCAGCCTTATGAGCTGAAAACACCAGCATTGAGGGTGTTTACATATCCGCAGTGGTGCTTGGTCAAAGCATCTGTGAAATTATCCGATAACAGAATCTTGCTACAGAATGGGCAGGGCCAGGGCCTTGGTGGTCATGCTTGGGGTTGCTAATGACGCTCTCGTGTCTCTTCCAGCTCACAGCCCCACACTTCCCCGTGGTGGTCAAGCTGGGACATGCCCACGCCGGAATGGGGAAGGTAAGTGCACCTACACTCACTCCCCTTAACATTCACATGACTCCCCCAAGCTACCTGCTCCCCAATATCTGCCCCCCTCCACCTCCACCTTCACCGAGTTGCCCAGAACAGTGTATTCGTGGACCCCAGAGGCTCCCCTCTGCTCCCCCACCCGCCGTCCTCTGAGCTCCTGAAGTGGAACATGGCCATCCTCCGCCTCTGTTCCCGTCGGCCGAACATTACCTGGAATTATTCATTGGTTTCTGTGATTGTGGCTTCAGAGGAATGGCTCCAATGAGTTTGTATAGACAGTGTTTGTTTCGGTGCTGCCGTCATCTCCACAGCTACATCTTACTCATTTCTTTGTCGCCCACAGAGCTAGCTCCTAGAAAGCAATGAATATACATGGCTTCCTGGAAATCAGTGCTTTTCTGCAAAACTGAGTAATACATGTGACACGGTCACGGCTGACTTGTTGTGACAAACTCTAGTGGTCAGACTCTCTCAGTTGCAAGTGTGGAAACTCACTCAAATTCAGGGGGAAGGATGCTTCCTTGGTTCAGGCCGTCAGGAAGCCTCAGAGAGTTCTAGATAGATCTGGGCATTACTGGATCCAGAAGTTCTAATGAGAATGGCCGGACTCAGTCTGTCTCTTTTTGTCTCGACTTGGTATTTTCTTCACGGAGTCAAGAGAGCTGTGGGTGGCCCACCTAGATCCTGGGGACGAAAGACCCAGCAGCTCTGTCTAATCTCGTGGAGGGCACGGATCAGCTTGCTTGGGCTGTCGCACCCTAGCAAATGGGTTCAGAGCTATATTCAGACCCAATTGGACCGTATGCTTAGGGTCCCTGCAGGAAAGGATTTACTCCCGAATATGGAGGGGGATGAGGGTCACCACGGGTTACCTCTCAAGCCTCAGGCTCAAACAGAACAGGTGAGAACATGTGAACCCCAGTGCTGCCATCCCTTCTGTGGGGACCTGAGTCTGGACAAGGCCCAACACAGCGTCCTGGACAGAGATGGAAGGATCCAGCAGCGACTAGCCACAAGTCGTCCCACCCCGCCGACCCTGGCTCTCCCATCCTGTTCTACCGGCTGTATCATCTCTTCCTACCCAAGCCCCACCAGGCAACCAAGGCCCCGAGGGGCCGGGCAGGCTCAGGGTGTGACCCGCAGTCTGACATGTGTGTGAACTTGAGCAAGTCTGGTCTCTTCGTCTGTTGAATTATATCATTCCAATAACTGGCTTTAGAATGAACCCCCTCTCTATAGTACATCTCCCTAAAAAGCACCACTATGAGGGCTGGGATTTTTACTGTTTTACACCATGGTATCCCAGGCCCCAGAACTGTCGCCGCCACCCCCCACCCATGCATAGTGGCCCCTCACTTTTTGGTTGAGAAGATAACTGAGTGACCCCCTCTTCAGAGACCACGCTTGGTCCCCTCCCATACCCTTCTCCACCGCTATCTTCTTGGTTATGGCCCCATCCCCCTGGCCCCCGGTGCTCACTCAGTACACACTTTTCTATCCACATCTGAATGGACCACTCGAACATTTACAGCCACGGCCCTCCCTTCTGTCCCAGATCTCTTCCTCCAGGGACTCCGAGTCACGCTTCCTCTCCTGCTTCTCCCCTCTCTCTGGTCACACCTTCACAGTCTCCTTCCAGAGTTTTCTTCCTGTGCCATCTTTACTGCATCTACTCCACCAGCACATTTTCTCTGAGTGCCTCACTCAGCTTCCCCGCCATCTGCAGGCCACCAGCCCCCAGTTGCATTTCCTATCCAGGCCACCAGGTCCTTATGTCCCATCACCTCCCCTGCCTGTCCAGTGGAAACCTCTGTGCTGATGTGCCCTCCCTGCCCATGATCTTCCCAGAAAGCACCCCCTCCTCATTTTCATCCTCATCCCCCGTTACCATTTCTGCAGCAGGAGCCACCAGTCCGTCCAGTGTCTCAGCATAGAAATCTGGGCCTCAGCTCCCCAGTTCCATGTCCAAATGATCATTTGCCCTTTGTTACTGTGTCTCAAACCTGTCCCTTTCTTGCCGTCCACTGCCACCATCTTGGATAATTCTGGAAAAGTTAGAGGCCCCCAAGAATTAAATTCTGTTTCTCAAGCTTAAAATAATCCCAGACAGGAAATAAAAAGAAGGAAATTCTTAAGGAGATTGACGCAATGCTGGGGGGAAGCTGGCATGGGGAGGGAGGGTCCCCTCTGAGAAACTCAGGCCCAAAAAGGATTTCCAGAATATGGAAAGGCAGATGCATCTCCAGGGATAAAAAATGTCACTGACCAGAATAAACTGAAGTTTGAAAATATACTGAGATCAAAGGAAAAGGACTTTTCTGTTCGGAAAGAGAAAACCATCAAGAACAGTCTGGACATGCCAACTGGGCAGATGATGTCATAGTCATGGCTGAGAGGGTGACACACAAAACTGGCACCTTCCATGGCACTTCTCTCTTCTCTCGAGAAGGAAGATTATCTGCCAGGGGACCAGCAAGAGAGCACCCCTAGCAGGATGCTGGCAAAGAAGTTGTCACTGAGCTCAGGGTAGCTAGAAACCTACCTCCAACCTGGGGATAAGATCACTGACCCATCCTCAGTTACGTTTGTTTACGCATTAGTGATGGGTACTGAGAATCAGCAGATGAATTTGGGGCCTAGTCCCGGTTGTCAAGGAGTTGGGAAGACAGTCCCATAAATAAATGAGTATAATATAAATGAGAGGTGCTGGGCGTATAATTGAAGGCCGTGTAGGGAGTACGGGGGTGGGAGAAAGAGCTTAATCCCACCTAGGGGGTAGAAGGTGGAAAGCCACTCCACATGGGGAAAACTGCATGGCTCGGTGTGCCTGGAGATTTAAGGAATTCTAACAAACAAGGAAGATGTGCAGACAGTAGATGGCCAGTACCTTCTTATCTTAAAAAGAGGTAATGGATGTCAGAGGCACATCGAAACACTGTCAAAATAATGACAAGCCATGCAGTTCAGAGAGCTCTTGGACAGGTCAGAGGTGAGCCCTGTGAGCTCCTTAGAACCAGTCGGGCCAGACCCAGTGTTCCTATGTAGGGAGGGAGGGTTCTGCACCCCTGGGGACATTTGGCCACATCTGGAGGCAATTGGGGTTGTCACAACTGGGAGTGGGGGAGGCACTGCTGGCATCTGGCATCTACCAGATGGAAACCAGGGATGAACATCCCATGGTGCCCAAGACAGCCTCCCACAACAAAGAATTACCCAGTCCACATGTCAATAGTGTCAAGGTTGAGAAACCCTGGACAAAACGAACTTTATTTCCTCTGTTGAAAGTCATACCAGACTAGAAACCAGAGGAAGCCGTGGTTGTTACAGAGTTCGACATGTTTCAAAGTCTGTTCCAAAGAATTATAATTATTCAAGATGCTTAAGGCTATTTTGGTCAAATAGGTTTGGAACAGTCTATGTTAAGTAAGTTTTTACTGTGGAACTTCTCTGAGTCACAGGTTTGCTCATATGTATGGAAGGGCTACAAGAACTTTAAAAAGTATGCAGAAATGCCCTGACTTACCTGGCCCCAGAAACATTTGGTCATTTTTTTAATTGAGGTGCTTGTCTTAATTAATTTATAAAAAAAAAACTCCTTGCGTATTAAGAATATTAAACTCTTCTCATGCTTTGCAACTATTTTTCTCCATTGGACAGTTAGCTACCTGTCCATTTTATTATCCTGTTTTTAACCATGTTTAAAGTTTTTCTTTCAATGTGGTTGAATGTACCCATCTTTGGGAGGCGGTAGGTGAGAAGGGCCAAAGGCATTGATTTGTCTCTAGGTTACACTACCTATTATGAGACCTTGGGTAAGTTACTTAACCTCCCCCACCTTCATTTCCTCTTATGAATGAGGATAATATTGTCCAAAGTTCTTCTCTTAGGTATTCCTACCCTACATGCATGTATGTGTGCACCAAAGCTTACAGCATCTTGCCCCTAATTCCCAAAACTCAGACACAGCATGTGTTTCCATTAATAATAGAATAGATAATTAAATGCCAGTATATTCAGACAAATGGACCATTTCCAGCAGGAAAACAAGGAACTACGTGGGTCTCACCAACCAGAGGCAAAAGCCAGACACATAAGAAGGTTTAATCATATGATTCCATTTATATAAAATTCAGAAGCTGGGAAACTACACTGTCACATTAGTTGGGATACATACGTAGGTGGTGCAACCTTTAAGAAAGGCAAAAACAAATTTATCCTAAAAGAATAGACATGACCTCTGTGGAGGAGGGAGATATTGTCATCAGGATGAGGCACAAGGCAAAATTCTGGTTCTTGACCTGGGTGGTTGTTTAGTCTGTGAAATATTCTACCAGCAAGTAATTTTTCAGGGAACCCCCAAGTCATGAGAAGTTCAAGTCACAATAAAAAGACAATCAGACTATTATAATTTTTTTATGACTCAATTACTCAAAATCCATAAGCAACAACAATTCAGACACATAAGAGTCCATTGAACTGTCATTTTTGTCTTTGCCATCCTCTGTACATGTTACATTTCGAAACAAATTAAGTTTTTAAAAATTCAGTCCAGGGCCTCCCCTGGTGGTGCAGGCTGTTGAGCACAGCGCTGTGAAGCTGTCGCTGCAGCCTCTGCAGTGCGGGTTCGATCCCTGCCGGCCAGGGAGCAACCCACATGGCGCGGCAGACCTCTCCTGTCTCGCCCGCTGCTCCCCTCAGCAGTGTATTCCGTCAATCTGCCTGTTCTGCTCCCCACTCTGTCTCGGGCGAATCCTCTCACCCTCTGGTACATCTGGCCTGTACCCCGGTTCTTGTATGCATGAATAAATTTTAAAAAATTCAGTCCACTCTTGGGACCCATTAATGGAGATCTGATATCAGAACAAAGAGAGCACTGTATGTTAGGGTCAGTCCATGGATGGAAGGCTGTGCTGGGCTCTGGGCTGTCCAGGGCTCTGGGTGTTTGTGGCCACCATTGACAAGTGAGAGTGTCCAGGGAAAATGAACTG